TGTTTATTTAAGTGTAAGAAGGAAAGAAAAAAGTACTGTGCAACCCACTTTAGAAGGTGAAGAGGAACATTTGAACTAAGTGGGATATATTCCTGGGGAGGGGTTCACATACTCCAAGAAATTCTACTTCTTGTCACATTTAACCACAGAACAAGAGAAAAGAGGAGGAAAAAAAGAATATTACACCATGGAACCTAAAACAACACTCTGCCCCAGAGGGGCTTTCCAAAGCCTGTGTTTAGCAGCTATCAGCCAGGATGGTCCAGGCCTCAGGTACAAAGGTCAGAACACATGAGGAACATCAAATCCTCAGGGACAGAAAAAGAATCATTCCCCCACTTGTACAGGGGATATGTATTGTATTAAGTATGGTCTTATCTACATGAGTTTGTATACAGAAATTAATAAAACCATCTGTCTAAAAATAAACAAATCAATTGATCAAAAATAAATAAAAGCTGACTGCCTGGTCTAGGTGTATAGTCTACATGAGTTTGTATACAGAAATTAATAAAACCATCTGTCTGAAAATAAACAAATCAATTGATCAAAAATAAATAAAAGCTGACTGCCTGGTCTAGGTGTATAGGACCTAACTGGGGAAGAAAGGAGGACACCACACTGAGAACCTGGAGTGCCCTCCAGACACCCCCTTCACCCCGGCCACTTACTGCTTTGTTGATGGCCATTCGAAGTTCAACCACGCCCCCAAACTTCTGGGTCACAGCTCGGCTCACTGGGACGTAGGCCATTGGAATGACCTCAATGGGAATACCCTTGTGCCACTGATCCCCAAGGTTCTTTGAATCTTTCCTGGAAATAAAGAGTCAAAAAAGCACAAAAAAAGTAAATAAGCTCAAAGGTGCAGACAAACACCAAAGTCAGGAATGGAATTAATCAGATGGTCGAAGGGCAAGGAAAGTGATAAGGGACAGTCTACCAGGAGCTTCAAATGCATTGGCTGTTTTCCTATTTTTAAAAAAATGATGTCTGAAATAAATATGACAAAAATGTGGGCTTGTGGGTATCCAGGTGCTTATATTTATGCTCTTCTTACAGCTGTAATATTTCATAAGCACACACATACATATTTATATTTTTAATTAACATGCTCAGCACAACTGCCTTCTATCAGACTCCCTGAAGGAGAATCTGAAAGCCTGGTCAAAGGCTGTCCACAATACAAGTCACATGTGACAAACCCTGACCCCAGAGGAAGCAGAGCCTGCTGAGTCACTACCTGTGGGCAGGGCATGCCTTGCTTCCTTTGAGGCTCTCTGTGAGGATGAAATGAATAATACATGAAGTCATGCTCTATTAACAGGGTGACAAGTGGTTTCCTCCCTCTGTCAATGGACACATGAAATGGTACTGGAGATCCCAGCTCAGTGTAATAGTGATGTGGTCAATTAGCGACATCTACATTCAGCATGGAAGCAGAACATAAGCCCTCCCAGCCACTGCCCTAAATCCTAGCCATCCATCTCACGAAGTTAGATAGTCCCTCCATTTCTCTATAAATGACCTCCTCTATAAAATGGGAATGAGGCTTGGGTCCAATCTACCACCTCAGGGGGTACTTCAGGACACTGTACCTGAAATCAGCGATCACAATGAAGTGACTAGCATAGCCAGCCACGATCTTCTCCTGGGTCAGACAGCCTCTGAGGATGGGAAAGAAGGAAATGAACATAGGAATAAAACAAAATCTCAATTTGGAAGATACAGGAATCCCAAATCTACTAAATCTTGGGGTTTAAAGAGAAATTTAACTTCAAATTTTTAAAGGAACATCCCCAACACCATCATGCTGCTTCTAGTAGACTACAGACACAGCAGTGTGCGTCTGGGAGGAAGCTAGAAAGTGGACAAGGTTCCCATTCAGGCCAGGCATGATCCCATCCAAGATGTGTCTGAGAGGAAGCATTGTGCTTAGGGAGACGTCATCTGGACATGGCATGAATGGGAGGGTTGACAGCCTGAGAAGGACAAGCTTTGAACAACCTGCCCTATCAACTATTTGACAGTCAGAGTGATGGAGTAGAGAGAGCCCAGCACACTGAATCAGCAGATCTGAGTCCAAGCTATCTCTATTGCTTACCAGCTAAATTAGCTCACATCTGCAATCAGGAGGATTAAGTAATACATACGAAAAAATCTTACAGACAGTAAATGTGATTTTAAACAAATTTTACGTCATTCAATAATCTGCTTGAAAGTAAGAATCAGCAGAACAGGACTGTAGCTTTTTTAATTCACCATTCCCTACCCCTCAAATCAGCACTTAAGTAACACCCAATAAGTATTTTCCAAATGAATGAATAACACCCTTAACAGGTCACACAGGTAAAAGCAGCTTTACAGCAAAGGCCACACACTCTGCCCACAGACCTAATGATCTAGCCCAATAATAAGTTGGTTTAGCCTGGACAGGTTTTTTTTGGTTTGTTTTGTTTTGTTTTTAAAGATGACTGGTAAGGGGATCTTAACCCTTGACTTGGTGTTGTGAGCACCATGCTCACCCAGTGAGCTAACCAGCCATCCCTATATGGGATACGAACCTGTGGCCTTGGTGTTATCAGCACCACACTCTCCCGAGTGAGCCACAGGCCGGCCTTAGCCTGAACAGTTTTTAAAGTTTGAATCAGCGAAACACAAATACACAGAGAACCCAGTAAGATGAATGACCCCACTGAAGAAGCCCAGGTTCCTTGTCACCAGATTGCTGCTAATGACCAGAAATGTCAAGCTGGCTCTAAAGCCATATGCTATCACCATCCTAGTTAGAAAGAAAAACTCAAACACATTACAGTGGCAATTTGTTTATTCTATGTTCCAGTTTTCCTTGCTAAGGATTAGCGAGAAGATAGTCTTCAGCAAGAAAGTCCCCACAACACTCACCCACCACCCTTGATGAGATTGAGATCAGCATCTACTTCATCAGCACCATCGATGGCAAGGTCAATCTGTGTCGGGGAGAAGAAAAGACAAAAACCACTAAGAGCCTCTTCAGGGGAGTCTCTGTGCCAAGCTTGACCATACAATAGCTGATTAGATCCTCAGCAGTCCTATCAGCGAGGTCCAGCATTCCATTTACCCAATCAAGAAACTGAGGTTCCAAGAGGATAAGCCGCTTTGCTAGGGTCACAGGGAAACAAACATGGGGCCTGGGACTCAAACCTGGGTCTAACTTTTACCTATGACATTATACTTCCCTTTCTTGTTGATAGCCTTCCCGATGGAAAAGCTGGAATCACTGAGAGCATGCAATCTCAGTGTGGGTGACATTAATCCTAAGGAAGCAAAAACTGGCTCTTGGAGGGTTTGGGGGAATGGGAATCTTAGATATTACAATGAGTTTTTTGTTGTTGTTGTTTTGATTTTTTTGGTGGCTGGCCAGTACAGGGATCCAAATCCTTGACCTTGTAATTGGATATATTACAATTATTTCTGACCCTCCAAAGGGCCACAAGAACATAAACAGATATAGAGTATATCAGTAGTATTAAATTCCATAGGGGGTGGGAGGACAGTCAACAATTTTTAAAAAGCTCAGGAAAAACTGATTCAGAAGTCTCTGTACTAATGTGGGCAAAAAGGCAATTTCAAGTGGACAAGAAGATCAACTGAAGAGATATTTAAAGTAGTTGACAAACACCTATGTTTTCCTGAATTGGGCATTATTGAGGCATTCCCACTAAGACTCCACGAAACTGTCTAAGCTTACCCTCTCCCTAGATCAACTGAAGAGATATTTAAAGTAGTTAACAAACACCTATGTTTTCCTGAACTGGGCATTATTGAGGCATTCCCACTAAGACTCCACGAAACTGTCTAAGCTTACCCTCTCCCTCTATTAGGAAGCTCCACTGCCAGCCCCAAAAGCAGTCTAGGAGCAAACGGGTTCATTCTTTCAAAAACTGAAAGCAAGGAAGTTATATATTTCTCATCACTCATAGTACTCCACATGGACAATGTAGAAACTTCAAGTGCGGTTTTTTAAAATGGTAGTATGCAAGGTACACATTCTATTCATGTTGCAGTGCTATATAGCACAGGTGCAAAGCCTGCAGAGCTTCATGGGGGGCATCCTTATTTCCGTACTTTTACAGGTTCTGGCCTATGTCTGAAATCACACCTTGCATCACTCCCCCTAACCCTTCACTAACCCTAGGGCCTGGCTGTGCTGTGGGCAACTCTCTGGTACCAGAAGGTGGTGACCTTTTCTGTCTGGGCTCTGGGCCCACCTTCAGCCCAAACCACTCTCCTCACAGCTGCTGAACAGCTGATTCAGCCTGCACCCTGGCTCTGCCCACAGAAATACCCCAACGAGCCCTTCCCATGGTTCTTACTAACCCCATGAGGCTCATATGTACCATGGCGACATGGGTTACTAGACCACATCAAGCCCTGGCCCCCTTCCCTTACCATGTACCAACACACTCTACTCTGTCCTAACCACCCTCACCAGCCTTGAGCACTGTCCACATATGCCAACATGCCCATGTGGAGCTGTTCCCATGTCTCCCACCTACACCCCTCTGGAATGTTCCCTCCTGCCCCTGCCACCTAACCTCTACAGCTCAGCTCCAACCATACCTCCTCCCACAAAATTCTTCTAACTAACATCACTCTAGAGCCGGAAGTACCCAACATCAAATTCTGGCTCTGCCAACTACAAACAATGTGGCCTTAAGCAAATGACTTACCCTCTCTGTGCCTTTTTCATATCTATAAAATGGGATAATTATGGTACCCACCCTCAAGACTACTGGAGATTAAATGGTTTAATACAGGTACAGAAGTTAGCACAATCCCTGTACATAATAACAGCTCAGAAAATGCCAGCTGGGATGATGTGTGATTCTGTTCACCCTTCAGTCTCCTCTGGACTAACCCTGTATTTAACAGTCTTTACCACAAAACTTAATTTTAATCTGTTTCCAAATGTCCACAGCTGCCCCAAATGATTACTTCTTATCTCTACTTAGGGGTAAGCTCCGTGGGCTGGCTGGCTCTTATACCTCTAACAAGGGCTGCAGGAAGCCCTGGATCCAGCTTGTCCAGTTCCTCTTCACTGCACTCACATTGAGCCCTCAGGGTTAAACTACAGAGAATATACTGGAAACTAACCCTCTCTCCACTTGTAACACCAGGCAGGATTAGCACTCAGAGTCCCAGAAAAAATGTTAATATGAATAACTGAACTTTTCCTTAGACCTGACAAGATATCCAGAGCCCATGAACAAGTGATAGCCATTAAAAAAAAAAGTAGAAAGACACAGCAGTCTGACTCTCTTACCTCTGGGTGTCGATCCAGGTCACTGAGGGTTAAGCCATATTGCAGGATGAGCTGACGGGCCTGTGGAGAACAAGAAAAAGCACCTACGATCATTTACTCTGAGCACATGGCAACAATTCTCAGAATTCTTTTGGATTCAAGTGTCAAACACTGACTCCGGACCCAGGTTCTCTCCCAAATCCCAACGTAGGCCACCTAGAGGTAGCAGATCTAGTGTCACAAATGGCAAACTAACTGCTAATTCAACCTTGGAGTCAGTAAAAGGCAAACAGCACACAGTGAGGACTCTGCTCCAATGCTAAGCTAAGAACTCCTCCTCAGTGACCACTACTAAAGACAATGCCAGGCCTCCTAAAGCTCCTGGCAATATGAGTATTTTTTAAAAAACAAAAAAAACCTCTAAAGAACCAAATCCACAAGATATTAGAAAAGTTTGAAAAACAATCCAACAGTATGACAAAAGACTGAGGAAGATCACTATGAATTGATACAAAGAGATTTCCAGGCCATATGTTGAGTAAAAAAAGGGAAAAGTATACACTCAGAAGAGTACAGAGACTTCCGAATCGCTAAGTAAGGAACTTGGCAAATTTAGAGCACCAGACTTGGAATGATTTAATGTGTTCATGAAAAAAGACAACACTATTTACTTTAAAAACATGCTTCATAATTGGCCTTTTAAAAAGGCTGGCTAAGGGGGAGAGCAGTGGTTACAGCCACACATGATCCTGAGCAGGATTTGCAGCTGGAATAAAGGTACCGTGAACTTCCGCATTTGCTCACCCAAGTCCAGGTGAGGTGCTGACAACACCAAGGCCATGGGTTCAGATCCCCTTACTGGTCATCTTTTTTAATTAATTAATTAGATAGATGATAGATAGATAGATAGATAGATAGATAGATGATAGATAGATAGGTAGGTAGGTAGGTAGGTAGATAGGTAGATAGATAGATAGATAGATAGATAGATAGATAGATAGATGGATAGATAGATAGATAGATAGGTAGATAAGTAGATAGATAGATAGATAAATTCATGCTTAAATTGAAAAGCACCCAAGATTATAAATCAGAAAGTCTAGGTTCTAATCTTAAATAAACCAGCCACATGGGCCTTGACAAGTTTTCTCATCTATAAAAAGATAGGGATAGATGAAATGATCGAGGCCAACCTAAAATCCTAAAACACTAAGAATAAAACACAAAGACCCTGGAATTTACAATGTATGAGCCTTACTTGGATCCTGCTTCAAACAACTGCAAAAAATATTCTTGTTTGGTTTTTTGACAATTGGCAGGTAAGGGGATCTGAACTATTGACCTTGGTGTTATAACACTGTGATCTAACCAATTGAGCTAACTGGCCAGCCTGTAAAAAATATTTTTAAAGGATAAGACAGTAGGAGAAATAGTAACCCTGGATTTTTATTTAACACTATCAGGGATTATTGTTAATTTTTTTAAATATTGTTGTCATGTTTAAAAGACTTCCTATTTTCCCGAGACATTATAAAATATATGTAATGAAATGATATCATGCCTGGAATTTGTTTCAAAATAACAATGTTGGAGCAGAATGGGGTATAGATAAAAGAAGACTGGCCATAAATTGATAATTGTTGAAACAGGGTGCTGGGTAACGGAAATTCATTTTACTGTTCTTTATCCTTTTTGAATTTTCGAATTTTCCATACTAAAAAGCTATAATAAAACGCTGGCTGAAGAAGCAAGTTCAAAAAAAAAAAGAAACCCATGACTTTGTTCTTATTAAACAAATATATAATGAAGGGGGTAAATAGCTATAAAAATGGTATTGCTAGGTTATTTCTCAATTCCTAGATTACGCCAAAAGTAGTATTAGAGAAACCATCCTAATTCCAGATCCTGAGGCTAGAGAAACACTGGAAAATTCTGGAAGGTAGCCTCAAAGATGGCTCCCGATGATCCACACCTCCTTATTTTCATGCCTTTGGGTAATCCCTTCTCATATTGTCCCAGGGTCGGTCTGTGTGACCAGTGGCACATAGCAGAGGTGATGGTGTGACACTTACAAGATTAGTTTATAAGAACACTGCAGGGGGAGGGTGGACATAAGGGTGAGGGGGAATGCTCAAGTGATTCCCCCTCCCTCCCTCCCTCCCTCCTTCTCCATCTCTCTCTCTCTCTCTCTCTCTCTCTCTCTCTCTCTCTCTCTCTCTCACACACACACACACACACACACACACACACACACACACACACACACACACAGAGAGGGTATTACTAAGCCAATCATTAATACATTGCCAACTAATAAGGACTTTTCAAAAATAATCACCATGTCCTGGACAAGGATAGGCTCCCCTTCCTTTAAAAGACACATTAGGCTGGCCAGTTAGCTCAGTCAGAGTAGAGTTGTAACACCACGGTCAAAGGTTTGGATTCCCATACCAGACAGACATAAAATAAATAATAAAAGGCACAGTATGTCTACTTCTTCTCTGCCATATATTTGTTGCACTCATAAATGTATTCATTCAATGAACACTTATGGAGTACCTACTAAGAGCCAGGCACCACACTGGACACTGGAGATAGTAAGTAATATCCCATTCCCCATGCACAAGGGCTTCATATCCCTATAAAAATATACGCACCTTAAATAGTCACTGTGTCCAACTGAACCCTTTGTCCTCACCACAACCACCAACCACCCATCCCAGTACCTGAACAGAACCTAGCACATGAGAGGGGTCACAGGTGAGTGTTGTCTATGCTCTGCAGCTGGGAGACCTGCTGTGATCCCCCTGCCCGCCCCCAGCTTCTGCACACACTGGGACTCTCCCATCTGTCCAGACAGTAAGCAACAATATGAGGACAAGATCTGCACTCCCTTTAAACAGTTCTGTTTCCCCATTCATAACAAAGGGCTCAGGAATTCTGCCTATTTGTGAGGACGGACAACTGAAGTTTGGGGCCCTGTACAATGACCCCAAGATCCCAGTGGGATGGAACATCTTAAGCCTGCTCCCATCAGCAGAACCTTCAACTCTCCCTTCTACTCACCTATGACTCTTGTCCTCATCTATGACTCATCTCCTAACAGGGACCATTTGAGTGACCCTACAGCTATATAGACAAGTCATAATCAAAAATGGCATGAGCCTCATCCTTCCTGAGTGTTACAGGTCCCCTGACCACCACAAAAAAAAAAGATATATTAGAGTCCTAACTCCCAGTACCTGGAGAGTGTGACTTTTTTGGAAATAAGGTCTTGTCTTTACAAAGGTAATCAAGTTAAAATGAGGTCATCAGAATGAGCCCTAATCCAATACGACTGGTATCCTTATAAAAGGGGGAAATTTTGACAGAGTCAGACCCACACAGGGAGCACACCGTGTGAACATGAAGGCAGAGATTGGAGTGATGGGCCTACAAGCCAAGGAACACCAGAGATTGCCAGCAACCCACCAAAAGCTAGAAGAAAGGCGTAGAACAGATCCTCCTTCACAGCCTCAGAAGAGAACAACCCCGCCAACATCTTGATCTGACTTCCAGCCTCCAGAACTGTGAGACAATAAATTTCTGTTTTTTAAGCTACACAATTTGTGGTAACACAGGGAATTCAACACAACAGTCCTACCATGGGAGTTTTGCCCCATCACTGGCTCATGCACATGCAGCCTCAGGAGCTAGAGTGAGATCAGCATCTGCTGGACACCAGCCACTTCCAGCTGGCACGCTAAGGGGTATGCTGAGGGTGTGGAGGAAACACCCTTGCCTGCCTTTCCAGCCAGAGCTCCTTAAAGTGCAGGGAGCAGGAACACTAATGATTAGCTTGTGTTCCCAAAGAACGACAAGAAGCAATGCGTTCTCACTGCAATCCCACAGCTGGTGCCCCCAAATGTCTCTTGTGACTAGGGACGGTGGCATGTGACAGGCTAGCAAGCCTTCTGTTTTTCATATATCTCACAATAAAACCTGAAAACTCTTTGCATTTTCCCTTTGTTGAGACCCAGAAAGTGATACTCCAAAGGGAAGGCCTCAGAAGCAGCCTCAAAAGCAAAGATTTCCTCTGACCCTTTCCTGCCCTCCTGTCACTCAGCCTCATTTTCCCTTGATGCCAGCCATAATATCTAGAATCCCTCTTCCCCAAGGCAGGTCACAGATATACTCTAATCTTCCCCCCTGCCTCTCGGTCTTGCACCTGCGCATAAAATTCTCTGATCCACCTTCTCCTACTGTAGGTCATAAGACCCCCAATTCCAGAAGGAATGAATGCTACACAGAGAGGCCATGAAGAATTTTAACAAATAGGCCTTGTTGGGTTTCCCTACTCGGTCTATTAGCATTAGATAATACTTTTCTTGTCCAATCACATTTCTTCATGGCCGTGCCTGCTCTTAGAACCTAAGCAAAAATATGGACAATTTTCCCTAGATCTTTGGGTCTTTATTCTGAAGGCTCCTGTGTCACATAAAACGATGATCAAATAAAATTTATTATGCTTTTTCTTCTGATTAACCTGTTGATATCAGGTGATTTATTTATAGAACCTTCAGGGGTATTAAAGGGATATCTTCCTTTGGCCCCTACACCTTCTACCACCTAACTGAGGTAGGACTGAAGGCAGAATGAGCAATAAATGCTGTTTTGGGCTTAGATCAGATCTGGCTGCAATACTTTATTTTCCTCTTCCAAAAGCCTTAAATTTTATTTTATTTATTTATTTTTTGTTTTGGCTGCTGGCCTGTATGGGGATCTGAACTCTTGACCTATGGTATTATGACACCTCACTCTAACCAACTGAGCCTTAAATTTTAAAGGACAAATCTACCAAAATCATTTAAATCCCAACAGGTTTACTTGTTCAAAAATATTGTGATTTCTTCTCAACGATTTCAGGAGATTACATCTAACTAAACTTAACACAAATTAAGTTTGGGTTTGAGGGGAAAAAGAAAGTAGCTGAACAACTGAATTTTTAAAAGTCCTGAGAATTTTGAGTGACTCCTCCACCTAATTAACTGGAATTGGCCAGCATTTTCCAGTCTAGATCCACTGTTAACCATTATCACCATAAAACAAAGGTGGGTTAGGAGAATGTTATCTGAACACAGGATCAAACTTCCAGATAAAGAGAGCAATTTGAACACCTGTACTTAGCTCAGCTTCCTCCCAAAACCTCTCTAAAATTTTTCTTAAAGGCATAAGCCTCACAGAAGAGAAGAAAAACAGCAACAAACTTTTAAAAGCTGGACCACTGATTACAATGGTAAATAAGGCAGAAATAAAAAAGAGAAGTCCTAGGCTAATACTGGAAAAAGCTAAGAAGCAACCAAATAAACATCACAGAACCTTCCAAAACATTCAGGAATCAGTGACATGGTGAACTCCAGGAAGCACATACAATGGTAGGAGTAAAAAAGGGAAGACTGGTTGAAAGGCTATTTAAGACCCTGTTATACCTCTATATCCTCTTCCCAAAGTAGCGCAGTGATTCTCTGGAATCAGATGTCAAACAGCAGGCCTTAGGACTGAATTGCCAGGCACAGGTGAGGACAAGCATACTCCATCAGTGAGCTTTTGCTGCACAGCAGCTACGCAGTGATTCTCTGGAATCAGATGTCAAACAGCAGGCCTTAGGACTGAGTTGCCAGGCACAGGTGAGGACAAGCATACTCCATCAGTGAGCTTTTGCTGCACAGCAGCTACCGTAAAACTCAGTGGCTTAAAAGAGCAAATATTTACTATAGTTCATGATTCTGTGGACTGACTGGGAATTCTGGTCTGAGATGGCTGGTGTAAGATGGCCTCACTCACAAGCCTGGAGCCGATCTCCACATGGTATGTTATTCTCCAGACTAGTCTCAGCTTGTACATGTTAGGGCTCAGGACCCCAAAATATGACTATAGGAGACCAGATATGCCACCTCAAAATATGCTTCTTCAGTATATTTCTTTTTTTTTTTTTTATCCTTTTTGAGACCGGCCGCACCGCACTCAGCCAGTGAGCGCTGTGAGCGCACCGGTCATCCCTATATAGGATCCGAACCCGCAGCGGGAGCACTGCTGCGCTCCCAAGCACCGCACCCTCCCGAGTGCGCCAAGGGCTCGGCCCTTCAGTATATTTCAAGCTGGTTATTCTTAGATATTGCAGACATAGGAGTAGCTCTGAAAAGCTGTCCTTTTGTAAAGGAAATTTACATCTATAAAGAAAATCTACATTAGTGAAAGTATGCTCCAGACAAATTTTATTACCAGAGACTTCTTATCTGCATAACAAGATAACCTTTATTCAACAGATATTTCCTCCCTTCACCCTCCCATAACTTGTCTCCACCACCACCCAGAAGCCCCAAGCCCCTATTACTTTCTGTAGCACAGGATGCTATCTATATAAGCTTCAATCATCTGGCTCTTCCTCCAGTCTCATTTTTCTGTGACACTTCTCCTATGTGTATGCACATAATTCAATATGGTTTTTCTCCTGTTAATATGCTTTATATTAATTTTAGTTGTGGCCCAGTCGAAGAACTTAGGGTGAAGAGAAGAATTAATTTTTCCTTCCCCTTCATTCACATGGCTGGCTTACACGGAACCTTAACCTCTCTCCTCACCAGAGCTGGCTGCAGGCTGCCAGCACTCTGAGCCTCCAGGACTTGTGGGGAGGCAGGGCGGGGGAGGGGAGGGTGTCTAAGAAAACCCAGCTGTCCACAACTAAGTCCATAAAGTCCCAGGAGCACCAGCCACCTGCAAGTCCAACCTGCTACCCCAGTTCATACTATCACCTTGACTAATTCCATGAGAGATCATACACATACCCCTCCCTGCAATGGCCAGATGAGGGATTGCAAATGGCTATATCTGTGAACCTCTCTTACCTTCCACTTCCTGAAGTCTACTCTTTCCTTATCTTTCCCTATAATTAACTGACTCCACTGCTTTTTTCCACCAGCTCCTACTATTTTATGATAAAAGAACATTACATATGGAATCAAAATACTGTGCCTGCCTTACTAACACATCACTTAATTCCTTTTAACCTGAGTTTCTTCACCTATAAATGGGTGATGATGAGGATGAGGATGGAGACCTCATGGTCATCTCTGTATCTCAATAGTGCCTGAACTCAAAATGCACTAAAATATTCACTGAGTGAATGAATGAATTCATCTTAATCCACACTTCCAAGGAACAATCCTTGGTCAATAATCTCTTCTGCTCCTGACTCTCTCACCTAGAACAACCCTGATGTACAACATAAAGCCAAGTGTCTATGTCCTCGGGGAACCAGATGATTCAGCAGCAGCTGCCAAGGTGCAGAATAGAAAGCAGGACATACCTGGAAGGAAGTAGGAATACAGACAAGGTTCAGATTCTCTTGTTTCACTCTTTCAGCTGTGGAGACAAAAGCCAAATTGGTGGTTTTTCTCTCTCCCCGCTTTACTTTGCTTGTCACATATGCATTTGCTCAAATCCAACAGAAAGGGAAAGGTCTATCTCCCACTAACTGTTGCCTTTCATTCTGTGTCCTCGTCCTCAGTAAACATGCTGGTGATCACACTTCACATACTAGAAGACAGGAACACTAGAAAGGTAGAGAGGTAAGCACAACTGTTGCCTTTCATTCTGTGTCCTCGTCCTCAGTAAACAAGCTGGTGATCACACTTCACATACTAGAAGACAGGAACACTAGAAAGGTAGAGAGGTAAGCACTAGCCACAGAAAGAGCAACGTCAGTGTTTGCTATTGTTATATGCCTCACAATATTCTAAAAACTTTGTATATATGAACTCTTTTAGTCCTAACAATCCAAAAGGTGAATTATAATAATTATCCCCATTTTACAGATAAGGAAACTGAGTTACAGAGATGTAAAGTAACTTGGTATTTATACAGCTAATGAGTAGCGGAGCTCAGATATGACCCCAGGCAGTCTAGCTCCACAGTCTTTACTACCCTATATTGCCTTTTCCAGGCAAAAGCTAGAGCTATACTTTTGCATTTAACAAAAAATATAATCATTTGTAGGCCCCAAAGAGTGATTAAAGGGAATTTATTCATTTTGGATTGTGCCTTTCAGAAAAGTCTGATTTTTTAAAAAAAAGTTTTTTCTTAAGGAAAAAACTATCTACTAAAATTTCAAGTCTTTTTAATCACTGAGTCTGCATGTTCAGGGGTTTAGATGCCACTAGTATTAAATCCACAGTAATTCCTGTGCCTAAAATTCACACACGTGGTTAAGGCACAAAGGTATACAGCACTAAAGCTCCTGTTTGGCCAATGAGAAGGCTTCCAGAAGCCATCACGCCAGTCTACAACAACTCCTTAAAGACAAAGTATTCCTAATTTTGCCTAGGGGCCCTGTCCCTTGGCTCCTTGAAGAGATCAGCATTCAAGCAAGCCTCTCCCCTGGGCTTTGTTCTCAGGAACACAGAGAAGAGCAGTAAAACCTGTTGAGCAGCCACAGAGGATAAAAATTCCTGAGCCATTCCTAAGCACAGAGATACCCCGATCACAGAGATACCCTAATCACAACAAAGTCAGAACAGCTGCAGGAACCACATACCAACTGAAGGAGCTCCACATCCACTCCAGGGTCATGGACAGGGCAAACCTAAGCTGACCTCAATTAGTTTGCCTGAGGAACTCACAGGCTTCAGAGGACCCCTGATGGGAACGTGCCATCAAGGTGATCAAAATTCTGTTGGGACCTCAAGCTGGAAAAGCTCCTCCCCTCCAGCCGAGAAGAGTAAACAAAAGGGCATCCCCCAAAGTTGGCTGAAAAGGTCCAAGAATTCCTCTCTCCAGAGAAGAGCAGAAACTCTCAACTGACCTCGGGCAGGCACTCCCCTCTCCTCAGCTCTGCACTGCTGTAGCCAAAATGGGCAAGTGCCAAATCTGTGCCTCACTTCCTCCCTCTCCACTATCTCCCCACTCCCATCATCACATACAAAACATCAAGTAGACACAAAACACCCAGTAGACAGTCCCAGAACATACCTATTCGCTGCACAGCATGGACAATTGTAGAACCACTCCCAATTCCCAGCACTTGGTTATTCTGCCAAAAAAGGGGAAGAAAAAACAAAATTTATTAGTACCATATTTTATTCCCTCTTCAGCCCACTTCCTAGAGCTATAAAATTGTTATGAACAAAAATGTTTTTTTATTTTTTCTTCTTAAATAACATAAAATTGTTATGAACAGCAATTCACCAATGCAGATGCGAGGTAGGTACTGTGCTTATTTTACAGAAACGTAACCATGAACCTCAGAGCTGTACTTTATCCTAGTGCCCAGTGAGCAATTAATCAACAGAGCCCTCCTCACTTCATTTCTGACACTGCCAAATCACTTCCTCCCTTCCTCCCTTCATCCTACCAGATAAAATGACTGGCTTAATTATTTACATCACACAGCAACTTTTCAGCAATTTAGGTTAGCCTCACAGAAATGGCCTGAGATATATACTGTAAGATTCCTGGCCAATCCCAGGGAGCTAATCAGAAAGAAAAGGCCCTAGGGAAAAATAAGAGTCTGGGTAATAGTGGAATGCCGGGGTTTCTGGCTTCAGTACCTTTTCACACAAGCTTAATGTGGAAGGCAGGGGACTGACCACAGGCACCTTCAAGTCGGTGGCATCAAAGAAAACCTCAGGGACACCCCAAGACCACCATCTAGAGCTCTCCAAAGTCATCAGGAAAAGAGGGGAGAGGGTCTGAAGTAACCTCCAAATAGTAAATCACGCCAGCATCTGTCCAGTTGATGCCAAGGGGTCCCCATTTTGCATGAGCCAACTTCAGAGAAAATGGGAGAGGGCAAAGACTTAGTTAAGAACATGAGAAATGGTCTTCATCTGCAACAGGAAGAATGTGCAATAGATGTAGAGGACTTCCTGAGTATAAAGGACAAGAAACAGGCATCACAATACTGAGCATACCACCTTAAGAAAGGGAGAAGATACCTATGAGCAAACCAGTCAGTCAGTTAGACCACAAACAGCAAAACAAGGCCATGGTACTAACAGTTAGGAACTAATATGGAGCTCAGTTCCCAAGTTCCTGTCTGGCTGAAAGTAGAGTATGGGGTTGAGGAATGAAATCTATTTGTTATTCAGTAACGCTTTAGATACTTGAAAACTATCTACATGCCAGGCACTGTTCTAGGAACGGAAGATTCTGAAAGAAAAAAAAAACCCCAAAGTCCCTCTTCTCAGAAATACCATTTTCTAGAGAGGATACATGATAAACAAGTACAAAACTAAGTAAACAAATACATGACCAAGAAGAGTTCTGCAATGAAAATAAATCACAGGTAAAGTCATAGAGGATGGGTGGGTGGGAAACCCAATTTAGACTGGATGGTCAAGGAGGCTTTTCTGGGAGCATTTCAGCTTAGGTGAGGGATAAGATAGACCTGGTAGTGCAGAGATGGCAGGTGGGCAGGTAGAGTATTTAAGGTGGTTAAAAGGTCCTCAGGCTGAAGGGAATGCCACCAAATACACAAGAGGCTTGGGCCATCAGAGTAGAGCTTACACCAGGTCAGGATTCCACCTGCAATGATGCCCTCAAGAAGGCAATGTATACAATAAAGTCAATTAGCTGTCTGGGCAAACTCCAAAGGCAAGGATGTCAAGACAAGTAAATGGTACATCACAGCATGAAAACATTCTAAATGACTGAATACCTCAACATGTAAAACTCTTCAAGTAATGAGAAAATGCCTTGACTTATCAATTCCTAGGTAGGCTTAACCTGACTTTCCCACTTGACCTGAAGCTGAGAGCTCCAACTATTTAGTAATTCAACTGCCAGATTTCTCATTACCAAGCTTAGCCATACACTCATGTCACTCACCGGCTCCCAGCAAGCAAGTGGCACACAGATGAACTTGGGTGAATCAGACAAGCTCTCTGCAAGACTTCTTTGGCTTTTGAAAGAGGCCAAGAACTGCCTGCCAGGCCCAAAGCTCTTCAACTATGTGATCTTGCTACCTTGGAATCAAATGACTGGCCCAAAAATCAGCACCCTAGCCAAAGCCAACCAGAAGTTGCCAAAGGCTGCCTACAAGGTGGCCCAACAGAAGGCTGCCAAGCAGGCCTTGCTGGAAGAACAGGCCCGTCCTAATGCACAACATTAGAACACATGTTGTATGTGCAACATCAGACCTTCACTCACTTTATCCAAAGGGGTAACCCCCAAAATACTGCTCCTGCAGACCAATTGGAACCACTGCCCACCAGCTTTTTCAAGCTAAGCCAGTCAAAAAACAAAGCTCAGGCTCCAAACAGAACAAAGGGATGAGGCTACAGACCTACAGGAAAGCACAGTCCTACATGGTGACCCATCCTGGGCAGTTACACCCCCAGAAACAGACAGATCTGGGTCAGGGTGGCTATACAAAGGATTCGGCTCAAGAACTCTCCAAATTCTCTATCCACCCAGACGTGCAAGTGGTCACCACACCGGAACACCAAAGAGTCTAACTAAGCAAAGAACCACCAATAACCTTACAACCTCCATATCTGTATCCATACTCTACACAACAAACATTTACTGTGCAGGCCCCACTGTGGCCAACACTGAATGAAGATATGGTTAACCACCTTCCAGGAGTTTACCCTTTAAGAGGTTGGGAGAGACAAGCACACAGATGACTAGAACATAAAACAGCAACATAAAGCACCTAAGAGGTATAAAGTGCTACAGAATTGCAGAGGAGAAATCTTCTCCTCCTTAGGAAGCTAAGGAAAAACTGAAAAGAGGAAATGACCTTTGAACCAAACCCTGAAGGACATATAAGATTTCTACTGGTGCCCCCAAAGGCCAGTGGAGATCTCCCTAGGATTACCTAGTAACTTAATGAAATGAAGCAGCTAGAGTCCAGTATTTGGGGGCTCTAGGCTGAAGTGAAGGATTGCGGATTTTTATTTAATAAAATACATAACTTATACAACAGAAGGTAGTGATACGTGTGCCACCAAATATGAATATAAATAAGTTAATAGGATAACTTAGCTAATGGAGCGTTTCTAATCTTATAGATTTCATTTACCAGTCTATAACTGTTCCTTTTATGCGGGTATTTTGAAATTTTATCTTATTGTCCCAATTTTATAGCTGAAACACTGAATCCCAAACACAGGGCCAAATTACACATTTTACCCTCTCTCTGTTAGTTCCCATTGAAAATCCTATCGCTAACCAGACTTGAGCAACACGCTACGCCAGAACAGGGCAGGAGAGGAACAGGTGGAAGGGCACTGGAACAGGAGTGGCTATTTGTCATCCTTTGTGCAGAACAGGCTGAGCCGCAAGTTACCACACTGGCCCCTCCCACTTAACCAAGCCGAAGTGAAGCTCAAACGATGTCATCTACGCAAAATAACTTTGTACTGTAAAGCATTAACGAATGTAAAGAACTATCAGAGGAGAAAAGGAAATCTGATACCACTTTCCAAGAAAAGAAGAAACAAATGCCAACAAGGCCAGGTTAACTCCACCACGAGGCAGAAATACTCCACTTGGCTTCCTCCCTGTCTTAGTAATATAATTAAGATAATTAATTTGATTAGTGACAGTAAATCTACTTGGGTTTATACACTCCACGAACGGCACCACACCCGCGACCTAACAAGTGGGGCCACGACCTCACTGAGTAACAGCTAAACGTTTCCGCAGCCCCGCCTTAAGAACAGCATCCAACAGACTTCAAGTGTCCACCCGGCCCTATCAAAGGGAGGAGGTTTAATGCCCCGTCTTCCCTTCCCTCCGGCAAGTACACTCAGAGGCGGGCACGCGCCAAGCTGAGACCCTCTTTGGAGTGAAATTTCAAAGCAGTTTGCAAACCAGCTCTCCGCCGCTTCCCGGGGCGGTGAAGAGAAATGAAGACCTCTTGGCAGCCTCCCAGCTCACCACTTTCCGTTTTTTGAGGAGGAGGCCACAGGGCAAGTGCTTCTAGCCCCCACTCCAAACATCAGACACCACCAGGCTCCACTTGGCCAACTGTTCAGCCAGACAAGGGACAAGGAGTCATAAGAAAGCTCAACTTTTAAGGGACTCTCTCCCAACCAATTCCACATCTAAGGAGCAGGGAAGAGGAGTCTAAACTCGGGTCAAGTGCCCACCCTCTCCCCTCTCACGCAGCCCCCGCCTTGCCAGGAACATAAGCGCCCGCAGGAAGCACCCAGAGTGCGCAACACGAGCCCGTCACGCCAAGGACAGGAGCCCCGGTCCGAACCGCTCACCCTCACGTGGTTCTCCACAGCCGTGCGGCCCGCCAACTTCTTGGCCTCCTCGGCCTTCATCATCGTGGAGGGGGCCGGGTAGACGCTACTGGCGTCCCCGCCGCTGGTGCTTGTGGTGCCAGCGCCGCCGCGAGTGCCGGACTGTGCACGCCCCGGCGGCTGCACATGGGAACCCAGGGAGCCCCAGCTGTTCCCGCCTCCGCCGGAGGCCGCGCCCCCGGCCCGCCCGGGTAGCGGGGCCAGGACCCGCCCGTAGAGGGTGCTGAAGGGCCCGGGGCGCTGCATCCCTACACCTCGCTCCAGCCTCCGCCGCGGTCCTGCCCCCGGCTCTTCCGGAAGTCTGGTCGCTCACGTTCACGGCGCGCGCGCTCTGCCGCGCGGTTCTTGCTGGGAAATGTAGTTCCATGGCTTCAGAGGCCCGTAGCCGCGCTCCAGTCTGGACTACCAGCCCCACAATGCTCCGCGAATGGGTGCGCAAATCGGCGGCGACCGGCTTTGGCCCGTCGGTCTGGGAGGTCGTTGTATCCGCTTGCAGAGGCGCGTGGCGATTCCCTTCGCAGGAGAGGTGTGTCTTTACGCCACTGTTAGATGAGTCCCAGGAATTTTTCTGTCTGCCTACGCCTCAGAGAAAGGGGTGTTGGACCTGACCATATTGTTTTTTCCCAGCAATGAGAATGGTTGAGACCTCAGAGCCGTGGCTCTTGTGTAGACGTCTTGGCCCTTTTAGGGTGACTACTTTAGATTCACTCACCAGGGAAACGCACACGCGACTCTGGTGCTGCTGAAGAGCATTCTAGGCCCCCGCAGGCCCAGGACCATACATTGAGAATCCTCTCCCTAACTTAGGTATTGTTCTGCATTTGGTGGTGTCGAATGCTTCTTGCGGATCGAGTCTGGTTCCACACGTGCAAGTGTGTCCTTTAGAGACCCTGCAATCCTTGGTGACTAACAAGTACTTTCACTGAACTTAACAGCTTTCTCTTTCCTTCTCTACTTTTAAGGTTTCTTGCTGTAGGGAATAGTAAGGGGTGAGAAATTCTGATTGCCCCCATTTTACAGACAAATAAACTAATGCTGACCCCAGCGTCAACGACCACTTGGAGATCGGTAAAAGCACATAGCCTTTATGCTAATCGTCCGTGTTAGTGAAATCTCTTCTGTCTGCTCATGAACTCATCTTCATACTCACTCCTGGCCTTCTCCCTTTTCTGTATGCAAGGCCCCCAGTATGGGCCGCTGCTACTTCCTCCCATCACTTAGATTTTCCTAACTGTGCTGTTGAGATAGCATAGAGCTAGGCCTGTGAACCAAACTGACTCAATTTTCCCTGTAGAGGACACTATGTCATTTTTCCACTCCTCAGTCGTGGTATCCCCCCCTACCCCCCCCCACACACACATGATTACCCCATGGCCCGCCCTGATAAAATAAACTGAGATAAGAAGGGAACAGATATTCACTGAGTTGCAAAACCTCTTCCCCAAGACTTGTTCTTTCTTTAAAATTTATCATTGCCTACCTGTTCTTTCCCTGTGACTGTAAAAACTAAATCACAGGTTAACCTTAAGACCCCTTTGTGATTTGCATGCAGGACACTGATGGAACTGACAGACCCCCCCACTCCCGCCCCATGACCACGTGAAGATATCTGAAATCATCAAAAGAAGATACTGACTTCAACCGAGGGACTGGGGACTGCTTGCCTTTAAAAACCCTTCCCCAACTTCTCTCAGGGAGACAGCTTTTCTATTATTGTCTCCCTAATGCATAAGACATTACTTCTTAATAAAGCGTTGCTTGCCTTAAATTCTGCTGGGTCCTTTGTTCATTTCGATGACATTGTGACCCAAGAGCCTAATTCGGTAACACTGTGCTGCTGAGGCTGCCAGCCCATGGACATCCACTTGATCTATAGGAGGAAAAGTTGTTTGAGGTGATGTTTGAATCCTTGGTTTGGGGCCTAATTCAGAAATTAGCACAAGGCGCTGGCTAAGATGCAGGACAAAATACCTGGACTCCTGTTACTGTTGGTCTGCAAAGTTGAAGGCCACCCTAGGCAAATTTGTGACCTTTTCTGTATTTCCATGGAAGCAGCCTTTCCCTTACTCAGGCTTCTCAGCACCCACTACCAAAAGATTGGAGCAAGTGTTGGCTAATCTCTTTACTCCTCCAGCCTGAGCACCTTCTAACCACTTAAATGCTCTACCTGCCACCTGCCCATGTCTGCACTGCCAGGTCCATCTTATCCCGCAGACTCAGCTGAAATGCTCCCAGAAAAGTCTCCTTGACCACACCATCGGGTGTGGTTTCTCACCCACCCGTCCTCTATTACTTTACCCATGATCTATTTCCATCACAGAACTCTCCTTGGTCATGTATTTGTTTACTTGGTTTTGTACCTGTTTATCATGTATCCTCTTAGAAAACAATATTTCTGAGAAAAGGGACTTTGGGTTTTTTTCCCTACAGAATCTTCTGTTCCTAAAACAGTGCCTGGCATGTAGATAGTCCTCAACAAGCATCCAAAGCATTACCAAATAACAAATAAATTTCATGCCTCAAGCCCACACTCTACTTTCAGACAGTTACAGTCTCTGCACACAGGCTGTCACCTCCATGTCTTCGCACATCTTGCACCTTTCTAACTCAGATGTTCTTCAAAACTCCACTCTGTCACTTGTTACTCTGTAGCCCTGAACCCCATTCCTAGTTGGATCAGCTGCTCTTTTATGTTTCAATCACCTGTACCCTCTCTTTCATAGTCTCTCTTGTTCTATTCATTTGAGTGTCACTCAAAAGACTACAAGTCCCTTGATGGCAGAGACCATCTATTCCTCATAGGAAGCACAACACCTGGCTCAATATTTTAGGGTGAACGGTGTTCTACAAAGGTCCACCTATCTGCACCTCTTTGATTTCTCTTTCCTTCTCAGTCTCTCCATCTTGTTTTCAGTTCTCCATCCCTGCGCTCCTTTTAATCCCTTTCCTTAAGTCTGTCAGTGATGCCCAGTGTCTCTCATGGTCACTGAAATCCCACTGGCAGTGTTTAGGGTTGAAGATTATGCTGATCCTTGGAATAGTATGAGTATCCTGTTACTATGATACTTCATCTGCATAATAATTGATAATAGTGCCAAGCACCATGCTAAATGCTTTGCAAATGTTATCACATTTAATTTCAACAATTCCAAGAAGTCTTTCCATTGTGCATACTATTATCCCATTGTGCTGATAAAGCATGAAAGAAGTCCTCACTTACCTTAAGGTCATATTGCTTGTAAGCGAAGCTGGGCTGCAAATCTTCAGTTACTCTAGGGCCACACCTTGACCTGGTAGAATTACCTAGATAAGAATTTATTGATTGCCCCACTCCTTACCCAATATAGCCCTGAACTTTGTATAAACCACACGCATAATGCCTGTCTTTTTAAAAGTCACAAGTAATAGCAACAAATCTTAAGACAGTATGGTTAAGGAAAAAAAAAGAAGAAAAAAGCTATAAATAAGAAAGTACTAAATAAAGGGAAGGGCACAGATTTTGGATGCTGGACACTTTCAGGGTCTCACAAAAGTGAGATCAATCTACTTTATAATCTGAATAACCCACTAAATAGCTTTTCTTTTTTTTCTCTAGATTACTCACACTAAAAGAACCACAAGGGGCTCATTCTTCCCTCTTTCATGGAACCTAATAAAATTAGGTGAAAGTTTCAAGGAACTCTTGCAAAAAAAAAAAGAAAGTACTAAATAAAGGGAAGGGCACAGATTTTGGATGCTGGACACTTTCAGGGTCTCACAAAAGTGAGATCAATCTACTTTATAATCTGAATAACCCACTAAATAGCTTTTCTTTTTTTTCTCTAGATTACTCACACTAAAAGAACCACAAGGGGCTCATTCTTCCCTCTTTCATGGAACCTAATAAAATTAGGTGAAAGTTTCAAGGAACTCTTGAGAAAGAGTTCTCAGGGCCAGAGTGAGGGATCCCAGGGGCAGAGCCCACCATTCTGCCCTATCGCTGCTGGTGAGAGGGAGGGCCTTTAGGCACCTCACCCCCCCGATGGCTCCAGCGTGGTCCAGTCTGAGAGGAGACAAAGGCAATGGGGCATCATGGCACTTCCCTAATGCCAGATTTAGGCAGGTACACAGACACCATCGTGTGCCTGCCTGGACTCCAGTGAAGCCAGAAAAACTTCCTCTCCACTTCCCCACCTCCCTTCTCTCTCCTTTTCTCTCTTCTCCCTCTCATTTTCTTCAAAGTGTGTTCATTTTGAAGACAACTCCCAGGGAAGACTGTACAGATGCTGGAATGGATTTGAGAATCTTACCAGAGATTGGAGTGAAGCTGACTCACATACACCTCATGCTAGAGTCTGGAGACTCATTTAGTAATAGCTACTCAAGCTCACATCCCCCCTCCACGCTCTCATCCTTCAAATGGTCCTTTGGAGCCTCACTTTGTGGCCCATGTTGCTTCATCCCCTTTCCATAAGCGCATGTTTATTATCTACTAATAATTTTGAGTAACAGTTAAGGCCCTTGGAAGAGAATGGGACCTTACTTTCGGTGGTCTAGTACTCAAAATAAGTCATGCTTAATATATCAGTGTTATTTCTTTGCTATGCACTTAACATTGGAAGGCAGTGTAGTGCAGTCTGTCTACCAAAACCAAGTCTTTCTGCTGGTTGATCACAGCCACATGGTTCTGAAAAAAAAAAATTTATAGAACAATTCCTTACTGCTGTGTAAAACCATTTCTTGCTTAATGATCAAGCTGCCTTTTGAAATCTTTACAGCAGTGGTTATCCACTTGGAGTGGTTTTGGCCTCTCCTTTTATGGGGATATTTGGCAGTGTCTGGAGACATTTTTGATGGTCTTGACTGATGACCACTGGGATCTAGTAAGAGGCCAGGGATGCTGCTAAACATCCTACAGTGCACAGACAGCCACACACACACAAAGAATTCTCCCACCCAAAGTGTCAACAATGCTGAGTTTGAGGAGCCCTGCCTTAAAGAATCTTCGGGGGGATTTGTGCGTGGCTCCTCTACCCATGCAGTTTGTTTCACCAGCTTCACCACACCCAGAACTTCTGTATGATCAGCCCTCTGCATACCTATCCTACCAACAAGGAACTCCTCACCTCCCAACACTACCACTTGCACTGGTTGTTCCTTGTTCCCTGCAGCACCCTCTGGAGCTCATCTCTTCTCTTTATTAGGGTTGTCATTCAGTGCCGTTGATTTTTTTTCTCTGGGTAGAGCTGGAGGAGGCTTCAGATCCATGTAGGTGGAAGAGGA